GAAGGCATTCAAGGTAAGGAACAGGAAAAATCAATAAGTGATGGTAATTATAAGGAGCAATATCATAAGCTAAGAGATTATTATAATGAAGTTAAGAAGTGCAACTTAGAGACAACTTTTTGTCTAGTGATTGAAAGACCACAAATAGATAAGTTGCCTATGTTTAAGAGAATATATGAGTGCATAGGTGCTATGAAGTTCGGTTTCATGGTTAGTTGCAAACCTATTATTGGATAGTTGTTTTTTTACGGGTCCATATGGAGGAATTTTACTTGTGGCTGTTGCACGTGATCCTAATGACCAGTACTTTCCCTTAGCTTGGCCAGTGATTGAGAGAGAGAATAGAGACTCTTGGACTTGGTTTTTAAAAAAGTCTCTTTGATGACATTGAAAGTATCTAAGAAAAAAGATGGGTATTTATATCTGACTAATAGAAGGTATTATATTCTGCATGTATTTATTTATTTGTTTATTCCTTTGTTTGTTTTTTTTAATTCTATCTTGTTACTACTAATTTATCAATTATGTGCAGGGCCTAGTTCCTACTTTTGATATGCTATTTGAAGGCACCGATCATGTACAACATTTGTATGCAAATATTAAGGCAAAATATGGAGGAGGTACTGTAGTTTATGGCTTAGTCCTTTGTGCTATAAAAGCCACATATGAGGCAGAATGGAAACAATGTATAGATAAGTTGATATTAGTTTCGAAGGAAGCCCATAATCATTTGATAGGATTTCTTCCTGCTTATTAGACCAAGTCCCGTTTTGGAGAATATTGCAAGTGTTATGCAATTACCAATAATATTTTAAAGCCATTTAATGGGAATTTGTTTGAGGCAAGAGAACTTCCAATTGTAAGTTTGCCTGATTGGATCTGAACATACCTCATGAGATGATTTGCTGAAAATTATGTGAAGGTTGAGAAGTATCGAGATAAGTGCATTGTGTGTCCAAGACCCCATAAAAGGTTGGATAAAGAAGTGCAAGAATCAAGAAAGTGGATGGTTAGAAATGCAGGAAATAATTGATATGAGGTTTCATATCTTCCACAAAAGTTTAAGGTTAATTTAACTGATAAAAGGTGTAGTTGTAATTGGTGGCAATTGAATGGCATTCCTTGCAAGTAATTTCAACAAACTTTGCATTCAAGCTATTTTGTGAAATTTATTTTAACTTTCATTAATACTTGTGATGCGGATATGCAGTTGCTTATATATATAACAAAAGAGAGGATCCACATTTGTATGTGGATTATTACTTAAGTTTGTAAGCTTTTGTGGCTTGTTACTCTCTTGTCATAAAGCCTGTCAATAGAGACAAGATATGGCAAAAAGCTAACAGAGACCTTCTTGATCCCTCTATACACCACAACCGTCTTAGCTAGCCAAAAAAGAAATGAAAAAGAAAGGCAGATGAGGATGCAACTTTAACAAAGATGAGGAGAGAAAATACAAGCCTTAAGTGTTCAAGTTGTAGGAAGTATGGACATAATTGTAAGACTTGCAAAAAGAAAGAGGCCTACTAAGCTACCTATCAAAAGTACAAAGAGGCAAACATCTTACACACGAGTCCATTAATGCAACTCCTCTTGATAGTAGTCAACCTTGATTGAGATGTGAATTTGTTGTAGTTCTGAAAATATGAGATTTTTTGGGTATATATTTTGTACATGGGATTTGACTTATATGGTATTTTAGTGTGTGTTTTGTACATGGAATTTGACTTAGATGCCAACATTATTGAATGGCAAAATTGTAGTTTGACTTTGATAATACTATTGTTATAATAATTAGGTTCTTAGAGTCTCAACTCTTTGGTTGAGGGTTGACAATGATACTAAAACTTAGATTGTACATTGTTAGTCTTAACTTCTTGACAATGATGCTGATACATGTAGACGAAGAAACTATAGTTTCATTATGACAATTGTGGAATCTGCAAGTGTTTACTTTGCTATGTTTAAGTTAGTTTTCTATTTTCCATTACTTTCTTACTTATGTTAATTTTAACTAATTTAAGATGTAATCTGTGAAATTAGAAATAGAATTGGTGGTCGTGATAATTTTTTCCACTGCAATAAGTGTGGTATGTATCTATTGCTATACTTTCATTTGTGACTTGTAGTTTCTTTTGTATTTCTTTACGGTTAGGCCAATAGACAAGTTTTTAAACTACATACATGCTAAGACTTAGTTCTGTATCTTTTACTTTTGCAGAATTTGTTACTATCATATCTTATATAAAGTGCTTGAGTAATAGTATATAATAGAATCAAATGAAAACCATTATAGAACTTACGTGAAGAGAGATTTAGTGATATGAAAGTAAAAGACTGGTAGCATTTGAATAGTATGTAACCAATAATAGAGATTGAAATTGATATAAATTATTTTTACTTTACCTCTTCTTTTCAAACCCAGGATATACTTGATCTAGCTAGGTATGCAATCGTGCCAGTCATCAATGGAAATATTAAAAGTAAACAGAGCTTCTTGTAGTGAAATTATGCCAAACATAGAACATTAACTATGCCATTGATCTTTGCCCAAGAAAAATTGTGTGACAAAGATCTGGCCATACATAACATTATAATTGCCACACCATTAATAGACTTTCCATACTATAAAAGCAACTATAATTGCACCATGTATATAAACCATTCAAGAAACTTTATCTTCATTCTCAAATCAACATTAGCATCCTTAAGCTTCTTGATCTCCTCTGAAATTGGATTGCTTACAAGACCTTCTACCCACTTAAAAAAATTGCATCCACAACCATCCTGAAAAAACAAAACAATCATAATGCATAAGCATTATCACTTCCAACACCAATTAGGGCATCCCCACACCATAAAAAAAATCCACATTAGGGCATCCAATAAACTTTCAATCAAAATTTTCTTTTGCCCAAGCAATAAGAATTATCACTTCATCACCACATCTATATCTTTCACCCAGCTGTCTAACCATTTTGTGCATTGAGGATATCCTATTGCTTGATGCCATTTGCTTGGAATTAGATTGAATAGAATGAAGAGGACATAATCAAGTTGAAGACACAAATTTAGGAGAAGAAGACAACAAAACAGAACGAGCATATCTATAAATTCTAAAATTCTAAAGAATGGCTACTTACCTACTTAGTTCGGCGATCTTTATAGCCTAGATTCAATGCATCTTCTTTAATTTTTTCAAGTCCTCTCCTCTATCCAAATCGCATTTCCTCGAGACTTGCTGTGAGTTCTAAATCTTATTCTCCTTTATACAAGTTACTTTTCCTTAAAACTTGCCGCAAGTTTTGAGTCAAACTTCTCCTCTGCCCTAGATGAGAGAACGCTCACCTCATTACATATTGATATTTGGTTATTGAGACTTCTAAGTCTCATTCCCTGTAATTATTAATTTTTCAGGAGCGAGTTTGGCCGGAGAAGTACTTGAGGCATAATTCGGTGTATGAAACACCATTTTTTAATTCATCCTCTTTATTTTCATTAATGATATATATCATGCTAACCTAAAATAGATATATATATATATATATTGAGCATCTAGACTTTATTTATTATTGTACTTTATATGTCAAAAGAATTTTGTTTGTTTCTCATGGCCTATTTGTAAAGTAAACTTTTGGTCAAGTATGCTCCTATGTGATAGTTTTTTGTGGTAACCAATATTTGAAAAAATATAATTTAGGGCCTGAGTCGGGTATCCATCGTAAAAACATGGTTTGTGAAATGTTACTCAATTGACAATGGCTTTCAAATTATAATAGGGGTGTACACTTGAAGTATTTAATAATTGCTTTTCTTAATTATTATGATAAAGTAAATTTATTATGTTTGAATCTTTTTACCATGATAGACCCTTTTTATTATGGTAGACTATTTGTGAAATATTTTTATAATTATTTTTTTACTACTATAAGAGTTTAAAATTATTAAAATAGTTTATCAAACCATTAATTTGTGAAAAATAAGGATTAAAATTTAGGATATTACACACAACATGAGGAAAAGAGACACTTCCTTCATGTTTTTTCCTTCTTTTGATGCCTCGATGGCTCGACTTTACTTTGAACTCATAATTAGGGATGAAATCACAACCAATTATACCTATTTGACCTCTCTAACTACATACCACATCTATTCACTCAATTATCATGATTTAAACTTGCTTAATTCTTTAGTAATCCAAGAGTTAAAGTTTACGATGTTACATTGGTTCACAAAAAAAAAAAGGCTTCATTATTTAAATAATTGAATAGAGCTTAGTTGCTTGGTGCTTTGCTTAGGCTTTGTTCTTTTTAGACCGAGAGCAACAAGAAGTTTGCAACTATTATATTGACCATTGAGTGCTCAAGCTTTGTGGTTCTTCTTTCTTTCCTCCTCATCCTCCTTCTTCTCTCATCGACATCATTAGAAAATTGCATAATTGCTACATTCTGCTCTATTGAGAGCGTTTGTTATAGCTCTGGTCAATTAGTTGCCAACTAGTCCCCCATCCCCCATTACCTTGTTTCTTTTTGCAGACACTTGGAGTTTGGTTCTTGTTTGATGGATATTGTTAGTTGACTTTATGATTTGAAAAAAAATTGTCATTTTGATGCTATATTGCTGTAATGTGAAAATAAAAGAAAGTATTGTAATTTAGTGTTCAGGTGATTCAAAGCTTAAAAAAAGTCATGTTAGGTTTTTATATAATTTAATTTGTTTGGGTCAGGCTTACTCAAATTATACTCGATATTCTTTTTAAAAAAATTTCAGGACATTTTTACACATTAATTCATTATAAATTTTTAATAAATTAAATAAGGTATAACTGTTTAATTTAATTATAGAGAGTCAACCATTAATTTTTTAATTATAATTATCAATTTCATGAAATTAGGCAGATGAATGACGTAATTATATCGGATATGCGGTGTGCCTCCAAGTTGCTTCATTTTCCTGCGCGCATGTCTACCCGAAGACGGTGTCGTTTGGCACTGTTCGAAATAGCTTTGCAAACTAGAAACAGAAGGGGAAAACAAGATTGGGGAAGGACGGGGCTCTCAATGGGTTATGTGTTGAGAGTGAGATTGGCGTCCTTCTTCACGGGCGCCGCATCGGCGTCATTTGCTGGTCTTTACATCCTTCACAGGGATTACAAGATTGCGCAGGAATCCTTCACTCAACAGGTGCCTTCCCTCCTCCTCTCTCCCCCCGATCAAAAACATCATCAATTATTTGTCCTTTGCATTAGGGTATTTCCTTGTATTCCTCTGGAGTTGGGTATCTCTTAGTAATAATGCGTTGTCTATGGTGCATTTAAGATGTGTGATTTCGTTCGCAATGTCCATTCCTTATTGCCGGCGTTTATTAGATTTTCTTGTTTTGCTTTGGTTTGTATGCGGAGAATCAAGCTGGTAAGATGATATCTGTTGATTTATCAAGATTGATTTGGAACTGATGCAAGGATATTGCGATCGGCCTGGGATATTTATGTGGCTATCATAGCCATTTGTTGGTAGAATGCCTGCCGTTTTAGACCCATCTTAATATTCTTCCAGCCCTAGTAAATGGAAGGGTGGATTTTTATTTCTTCAAATTGAGATGTTACGTTGATTTGTTTTCATTTTGATCGATATGGCACAAAGTCCGAATACTTTTGTTTACATCTTCATGCTTGATTTCACAATAATCGCTAGGCATGTTCATGTTGATTTTCACGATTGAGAACGTCAGATTGGGTTATTAGATGGAATTTTTGACTGTTTGATTGACGATGACATGAAGTCAGACTACATTTTTCTGCATCTTATTACTTGTTTTCCTGATAATTGTTAGACCTATTCACGTGGATTGTAAATATTGTGGATATTTGTTCATTGTAACTTTGTAATACTTACATTTGTTGGTTTATGGCTTTCTTCAATGTTGACTAGCCTTAGATAATGGTTTAATCATATAGCCTTTGACGAGCAGAAGAAACTAGATTTCTACTTATGGCTTTTGATTGGACGATATATTTAATATAGTCATTTTGGTATATTATTTCCATGTTCCTTGTTATGGGTGGTAAGCGCCTTACTCAGGATGGTGATAAGCAACCTTGTGATGGTACAAGCAAATTTTAGCCATAGTTAGGGATGTGATAGGAGATGACGACGCCATAACTTATGGTGTCCTTTTATCAGTGTTGTCAATATTGAGATGTTACTAACATAGGATCGGCTAAGAGATCAGAAAGATAAGATTGTAGTACTGACTGAGGATTGTAAGATCCTACCCCCGTATAACCAACATGATAAATAAGCCTAGTATTATCAAATACTCCTAAGAAATTAACGAATCATAAGTTGCAAGAGTCACAAAATAGCATACATTTAAATAACACTTAGGTCTATTAAGTGATGATATCCCTGCACATTAGGATTTAGGTGTAAGATTGTAGGATTGGCTAGACTTTATCAGACAACTGGACAATCAAAATTGTAATCCTAATGCCATCTTGTTTGATTTCAACAATTGTAGTTAAAGATTCTAGCCTCAATGCCTTAAACACTGAGGCTAGGCACCATACACCTATAGCACTTCATTGAAGCTCCAAAAGGTTCTTGCCTTTTGCTCCTTTCCATGGAAGCTCATGTGTCTTTTAGCAACTTACTCTTGTGAACAGAACTTCGACATTCCTGTCCAACCTTTATAGTATGGTAAAACAGTAATGTTCAATCAAGTATTATTAAGGCCATTAGTTTTTCTGCCATTTATAAAAAAAAAAACATAAAGCAATATATGTTACGAACCATTATAAATGTTGATATAGGAGGGGGACCGTTGGCCCAAAAGCAAAATTGGTAATGTAATTGTAAAAGAAGAAAAGACAAAATGATCTGACGGAGTGTATCAAAATTTATTTCTAAAATTTTATTTTTTGCATGGGGGCTTCAATTTACGCTTGCCTTTCTAGCACCTTTTGTCTAAGGCATTTCAATATTTCACAAGTCTAGCACCTTGAAGGGTGCTTCTCACCTTTGACTAAGTTGATTTCAAATTTGTTTAGGATTGGGATCCATTTTTGTGGGTAAGAGCGGGGATAATGTTTGAAATCTTGGCAATCTTCCATTTTGTCATAATGCCATGTTCTTCCTGATGTCTCTAATTGTCTTTTTCTTAATTTTCTAAAATAAAAATGCAGTTGGTTTATAATTTTGAGAGTAAAACAATATTTGATCTCAAATATTTGGGATTTTCTTTTCATATCATCAAGCAAAACTACCTAGATGCCTCCTCAAGTCCTATCTGATGAACATATATTCTCCAAAGTCATGCTGTAGCCATACGTTTTCTTATAATTTCTTTGGGGATATTCAGGCTTCAGAGCTAGTAGCTGATACAGATTATTAAATTGCATTTGTACTAGATCACATTACAATGGCAGAACTATGGAGATATGAATAATTCCTGTCATATACCTATCCTTGCACGCATAGCAGGGTTTTAATAAAGAATGCATTGAGCAGCGAGAACAAAAGTAAGTTGATTGAATCTTTGTATTTGAAGAAGCTCTTAGTGAAGAAGAACCCCTAAATCTTAGAATTATTGAGTCAGAGTCTGATACGTTCTGCTACTCCAGTCAAAAGGTGTGTGAGAACAGTATGATTCTCTGATGTAAATACTCCTCACGGTCCATTTGTGTACATTGACATGTCTAATGGAACTTAAGGGGTGGTGTTCAGGATGATGGGGAACTTAATTCTACCTCCTCTGCGTTTAATGTGAATTAGGCTTGTAGTAGTAGTATTCTGTCCAAAACTCCAAATACCCTTTTTCATGTCTATCCCTTACTACTTCTTGGATTTTGATAAATATTTTATTAAATCGGTTCATTTTCCTCCCTACTTCCTTTTATTCCTGCAAGGAAGGCGTCGCGTATGTATTGATTTAGCATCATGCTTGTTAGCCTCTTCTATCCACTAGCGTTGCAGCGTCAGATATTAGTAACTTTCTTCTTTTTATTTCCAGATGAAGGGTGTCCATGACTCACTAGACCGACGAATTTCTTCCCTTGAAAATTTGAAACACACTGATGCTTCGGAGCCTATGGGAGCATCAGAATAGCTGTGTTAACAAAGTTAAAGTCGTATATTGTAGTTGATTGTTGTCGAAGCTACACTGGATGGACTCATTATGCAAACTGGTTTCTTACTGTTTTCATCTCATCCGGAATAAGTACAATGTAACTCTTTCTTATGTTACTTGAGATATATCATCGTTCACGGGAAGAGTAGGATTCATTCTGTAACTCGATATTTGGAACAATTTTCGGGATTGTGTTTTGACCGTGTAGTTTCGTGCTCTCGGTATCTTTCTTTTCCTTCTCCTCTTTTTGTGGCCTGAGGGAACTTGATGGTTTTCAACGCGTATGTTAATTCGTAGTAATTTCTGTATGTAACAACGGTTGTGTTCGAGTACTGAATCGATTTTTTGACAAACATCCTTAGTTTATGATTACATTTATCTACACGTTACAATTGATTCTGAAAAATTCCAGCTTAATGGAAGAGAGACAATGATTAAATGCACATTTTTGGTTAAAAAAAAAATTGTATGGGAGCGGAATTAAGACTTGCAATGGCGGATGAATTGAGCTGCCTGTTTGGATAGCTTATATTATCAAATTTAGGGACCAAAATCATGCTGTTGTAAAATTATATTTAAACTCTCGTGTTAAATGTTAAATATGATGTCAAAACCTTGCTTTCCTAAAATTATTCAAATATCTATTGTACATGTTAAAATCAATCATCAATTCAAAACCATAAGTTTTTTAAAATATCCAAAACTTCTACATATGCCAGCCAAAATCATAATTTGAAAAATAGAGTTTATATGATTTTTTGAAAAATTGAGGGAATTGAAAAGCAAGTAATAATAATTATGAGATAATCATGATTTTGGTGAGAGGTGTTTGGATATTTTTAAAAAAATTATTATTTTTTATTTATAATTGATTTTGACATATATAATGAGTGTATGAATAATTTTAAAAAAATAATGATTTTAAACTCATGATTGATTTTGATATGTAATAGAGTGTTTGGATATATTTTTATTAAATCATAATTTACTTGTTTTTTAATTTTACTTTTCAATTCTACTTAAAGCCAATGTTATAAATCAATTATAGGTAATAACATAAACAATTGTATTTAAAACTAATCATATTAATAATTTTTTTCATAATCAATTTTTTTTCAATGGACGCCAAACGGGCCGGAGGATTGGTGGAAATGTACCCTTCCTATGTTTATAAAAATGTTTTATATAAAAAGATGTGTCTTTATTTAAAAAAACGGCAATAGCATGTCGTTCTATATGTCTTGAAGTCTCATGATCGTTTGGTTTGATGGTTTCTTGATGGATAAGAGGATTTTTATTGTCCAAGATAATTGGATAGAATACGAACCTATCTGGTGGGAATCGTCTTTTAATTTTAAAAAAAAGGTCATAAATAAATTCAATAATGCAGGAACAATGGAAAAATGTGGAACAGTGTATGGATAGAAATGGGAAGGATTAAATGCATTTACACAGGAACGAGAAAAAGAACGAAAAGTTGGTGGGCACGAAGGGTGGCCCTGGAAGATAAAAATGGCGATCTATATCTATTGGGCGTAAGGTGTGCCTACGTCTCGAATCAGGAACTAACACGGAAATGAAGAAGGAAAGCAACGAAGCATAAAGTAACCAAATGAAATGCAATGAATAGAATTGGCAAGTGCTTGTTTCCTTGGCGGTGGTAGGCCTAAGCTAAGGCCATTGAGATTGAATCAACCAAAACACGAGACTACCTATAATTTTATCTCCTTTTACTAAAATACCTATAATCTCGTTCTATAACTTATAGTCTTATTTGATGCACAAGCTTAAATTAAAATGCATTAGAATTGAAATTAAGATTGGAACTAGAATTAAAAGTAAAATAAAATTTTAAAATTATGTTTGATATGAAATAATAATTGAAGGCAACATTTATCTTTATTTTATTTTAAAATTAATTATAAATTATGAAAAGATCATAATATTTCCTTCAAATTATCAAAAAAAATGTAACCCTAACTCTCATTTGCTCAATCTTCTTCAGTTCTTCCCCTTCTTGTCGCCACCACCATCACCAATCACAATGTTGTTCACATTCAAGCTGTTTCCTGATGAAAAACGAATATAATATTGTATTTTGCCTTGCAATTTCAATCTTTCCTCCGTTTCTCTAAGTATCTAGCGGAAGAACAAACAAGCCTTCAATTTATGTAGGAGCAAGAGAGTGGCAGTCTCTGTAGGGTTGAAGTGGTGGGATTCTGCTTCACTGGCGAAGGTTGCAGCTTCTGCTCCAGCTTTAGTATCTCATTTTGTTTTGAACCTTCCATTTTGGGTTCTCTTCTGCATCAATTCTCCACAAGATTTCAACCTGCCCAGTAATTTGTTGCTTGCTTGCTGGCAAGGGGTCAAGTCGTCGCCGGCAAGGGATGAAGCCGTCACTGGAGTATGAGCAAATGAGGTGATAGAGAAGACGACGTGTCGAATCTAGGCATTCTTGAAGAGGGTATTTTAGTCACGAAGGTTTCAATCCTAAGATTAATTTTGATAAGACTAAATAATGCTAAGATGTGGTGGGTTTCATTATTTTCACCTAAGTGGCACCAAGCAATTCTAAGTATTGATGACTTGTCAAATATGTAAAAGGTGAAATTGCCCTAGTTCAATCCCAATTCTTATCTTTAATATTGTGTATCAAATGGGCCCTATATTTAATCAAATTTCTTGCTTCTACATGCCAATTTAACCTGTGCTTGGCCGTCTACTTCGGCTTGGGACGTATCCAGCCCCGTGGGACGGGGGACAAAGAAAATGCATTTTTTTTTCACACCTGATTGTGAGAGTAGATATCTCAAGACGCATGATTGGGAAGTGTAAAGCCGAAGCCAGTAAGTACTACGGAGCTCCCTATTTTTTTTTTTTTTTTGGGGGGGGGGGAGGTGGTTTACTGATATTACAGCAATAATATTGGAACGTGTTGACAATGATACCCAATGCAGGAGCCAATTTCAATTCTTGTATTTCATGTCACAAGCAATTGTCCCCTCCCCAAGAAAAAGAAAAAGATCGCAATTAATGTCTTGTTCCCACACTCACAACGGTTGATTTTGAGATTTTAATTCGTACTAATAGCATACTAAAACTTTAAAGCGGACGCATTTTTGACAGCAATAAAGGTGGATGTGGGCTGCACTTTCCTGAGAAGTTTGCTCACAGCTTTTGAAGCTTGTCACAGCATTAAAGGCTGCAGCAATATTACCTTTGTGCATCATATTTTTTAGCGATTCCCAGAAACGGAGACACTGCGTGTTGGTACTTCACTTTGGTGTAACTGCAAGCTGCAAAGGATATCCTTTGCAGGAATTAAAAGAAATCAATGGAAAGAAAGGCCCGGTCTTCTCTCATAGTGATAAGGTTGAATTTCTTGTGATTAATTTAAAGAAAAAAAAAAAGCAAATTCAATGAATGGCTTGAACATTTATACAGGCGCGTAAAATAATTCATCCATAATTAATGATGGCAGTTAGTAAAGCCTTTTTGCGTTTGTACGAGTACCATCCTCCCAGGTGCCGTAACGTTACACATCGAAAACGCTGGCCCTCGGGGCATAGGTAAGGTGAGAGTGACCAAATCCAAGTCCCCTCTCTGATCTCACATCGCTGCTATCTTCCATATGAAAAATACAAAGAAGATAGAGGATTGAGGATCTGGAGCCTTACATGCAGAAAATGATAGATACCACAATGATGATGAGAGAGAAGGGGGCAACTTTTTACTAATTTGTCTGCTAGCGTGTGGTGCGAATGTTGGAAGTATGGAAGCAAATCAAAGGCCGAGAATGGCGGCAACCCATTACTCAATCATAAAATCCCGCAGCATCCTCACCCCGCCTCTCTCCATTATGCAGTAACAAGTGCTGCTAGGATATAGACACACACACACACACAGGGGGGGGGGTGGTAATACTCCCATAGCAACGTACTGTTAGATAGACATCCAATTCCGAAGGCAAGGTGCGTCTTGCTCACCTGAAAAGCTGGGTTTAGCTAAGAGCTGAGTGGGCGTGGAAGTAAGAGATTCTTTCGGATGGCAAAGTGGTTTCATTAGTCTTTTCTGTATTTCCTTCTTCTTCTTCCTTTTTTTTTTTTTTTGTGCCTTCTATGAGATATGGGTGAATTTGGCGTTTCGGACAAGGAAGCTGCAAAGAATAGCAGCTATGGTGTTGTTGGGCCGGGTGTGACGGCGCAGAAGCAGAACCTCGAAGCGTTCCCTAGTAAGACCATGATAATGAGGGTTGACGATCCTCCACTATATGGTCCCTCCTTTGTTTCTGGTGGAGACGGTGATGGTCCTAAAACTTGTGAGTCCCTGACTAATTATGCAAACCATTATCTTAATGCCGCTTCTGCTTCTGGTGCTGCACTTGCTAGACCCTTGCAGCCTTTTCACGTTTCTGCCGCAACCGCCTTCAAATCCTCAGGTTTGTGTTTTTTGTTTTTTCTTTCGAGTCAATGCTCTGCAAAGCTTATGATTTGGGGTTTCTTGCGAACATATACTGGATATTGCGCCGTTAATTGTAGAATAATAAAAGAAGAGAGGGTCAGAAGAGAGAGAGAGAGATAGAAAAAAGACACTGAATAAAATATTTGGGTGATAAATGGTTGTGTTCATAGCAGGAGGGATGATGGCGGCCTCGCTGGGATTTCCTTTCACAAAAGCACAATGGAAGGAGCTTGAAAGACAAGCTATGATATACAAGTACATGATGGCTTCTATTCCTGTTCCTCCTCATCTGCTCATCCCCGTGCCTGCTTCTCGCTCTCCCTGTATGTCTCCCTCTTTCGTCTCTCGTAGCTGATCTTATGGTTATCCACTTCAATCTCACACAGAGCCAGATGGAACATATCAACCCATTGCCTTTCATGCCTTTTTTTAAATTTCAATCTGTGCCATTTCCCATGCCAAAATCCCACTCTTTTTGCATATACGGTGTCTCCCATAGTCACGTATCAGACTATCAGTGTCTGGAACACTCTGAACTGTTTTTCATGATATGTTGCTTTCTTTCTTGAAGCAGATGATGTGGGTTTCTCTGTTCACCCTTTTCTTGAAATTCGTAATGTAATATCTGTGGCTTGTTCTTGCTAGCAGTGGATGCTGGCTTCAATCTAAGGTTTTCAAGCAGTAGTGATGCAGAACCAGGGAGATGCAGAAGAACAGATGGGAAAAAATGGAGATGCTCAAAAGACGTGGCCCCTAACCACAAGTATTGCGAGCGACATATGCACAGGGGTCGCCCCCGTTCAAGAAAGCTTGTGGAAATTCAAGCCACCGCCGACAATAATCAGCAAATCAACGGAACTAGCCATGATTATTCTTCTTTATCTCCTCCTACCATGGCCATCTCTCACTCCACAATCCGTAAAGGTGGGTGTTCACCTCCGTTTCTTGCGTCTGCCACCACCAGTCAGCCACACTATGGATCTTCCCTTTCTCTAGATAAGCTTGGCGTCAAAGCTGCAAATTTTGATTCCCTTGCTTCTGTTCCGAGGTGACTAGAATTTTGGACTTAAAAGTAGTGTCTGTCTTTATTGTTGGCTTCTTAATACTTCTCTCCCCAGAAGGTTTCGCAACAATACTTCTGTTTGATTGGTCGGACCCAAAAATAACTTAAATCAGAAGCCTCAGGTTTTTATGATGACTGCGAATCTGCGATAAACGCAATGTTTTGAATCCATCTTTTTGGTTAAGAGGCAGTTTTCTTTTGCCACTGCACATGTTGATGTTCTGGTGTCTATGCTCCTTTGGTTTTTCTTTTTTGTTTTTGGGGTATGAAGACGGTCACGTCAAAAGCTGCGTTTGATTTCTGTTCAGTTCCAATTGATTTGACCCTTGTATTTCTAATCTGGTGTCCCTGAAAATGTGCATGACGAAGAGGATTGGACTGGATGCTGAAAGGAGACCCTAATCCCATGGATCCACAATGGCATCCGCCGATGCAGAACAAACGGGGATCGAATAGGGGAAGTTGCTGCAACAAGGACGCCTCAATTTCAAGTACTCATTCCAAGGGCCCTCTGTACATGAATCCTAACGGTGTTTTCAGCTGTGAAGTAGAGCAACACAAGAAGCGCTCCCCTCTGTACCTCAGCCCTGTTGGAGTGCCTCTGGAGAATCCTCGGCGGGTAAAACCAAGGGCTTTCATTGATGCTTGGTCGAGCGCGCAAATCAATGGCAGCAAAGGGAGCTCTGTTGCATCAAACGATAGGCTATCGCTCTCTTCGCTTGATCTGCCGGTGGGTAGTGTGGGTGTGGAGGAAGGCACGGGTTCTGTTCGTGTGGGCTTGGGCCATATGGATTCCCCTGCAACCTGGGCGGCAGGCTCAACACCTGGGGGCCCACTTGCGGAAGTGTTGAGGCCCAGCAAGGTTTGAGAGCCCTGTGGGAACGATGGCGTCATCTCCATCAGAAGTGGCCTTGCTTGTTTTAAATTTAGTCACACCGAATTGCCTTGTTCATTATATCATATTCCCCACAAAGGATTTGGGTTTTGGACTGTGTTTCTGGGCGAATAGAATATTTTCTGCAACATTTTCTCTCTCTTGTTGGAGTAAGGCCGTCCCGTGTCGTTGACATACTATATCCTGACCTTAGCCAATGCCGACTATCCGTTCGCTCCCCGGCCCCCAATTTCTTTTTTATTTTTTGATCAAAAAGAGCAATCAGCTTGCTAAAGCGTAATTTTATGAATTCTCAGCAGCTTCTGGGTGCCCGTCTGTTTATATCCACTGGCGTTTACGTTTTCCGGAATGCTATTTATTTCCGCCTCCTTAACTTTTTTATCAAACAAGATTGGGTATTAGTACGTTGCTTTTGATCTGTGACTGGATATTATTATTACCAAACTGTCGCGTCCATTTAATATCTACTGAATGCTCATTTTCAATGGGAAAAAGGTGGAAAAGGCAGAGTGAATGTCAAATTTTTCATAGCATCTTTCTCAAGACAAGTAGAAAATTGTATGAACAACTTGTTCAGGATCACCAATCCAAATATAAGGTTAGCCATGCAATATGCTAAAAGGCTGCAAGAGAAGAATGTGAACGGGAACATGAAAGGTAGCCCCTCACGAAATTTTAAATTTCATCCATCTTTAATTGGCACATACTCCTCCGATCTTATACATTAATTATTTTTTATAAATATAATTTAATTCATTTTAAAAGTTATAAATTAATGAGATTGTTTTGTTTTAAATTAAATTTTTTAAATTACTCTTGAAAAGTAAAAAACAAAAAAAATAATATATTATTTATTTACTTTTTGCTTTTTATATAAGGATTATATTAAAAATTTTACTTACTTTTATTTCTTATACTTTTATTGTTTTGCAATTGATAAAATTGATAGAAATAAATTATAAATAAAATTGAAGGGAGTATTTCTTTATTAGTGTAATCTCATTCTGTCCCGTTAAAAAACAAATATCTTGGTACTTTTAAAGATTTAATATAATTTTCATATTTATAAATGTGATTGTATCTAAAATTAAATCTGAGTCATGTGCTTTGCAGGATTTAAAAAAATGAACCCCATAAATCATAATCCTATTCGTACCACTTAATCTCACCTGGATTGATTTTAAATAGCAATAGCCAATTCGATTCTTGTTCCTTGCTTTGAAGTGTTTCGATGGATGCATGGCATGTTTATATAGGAACTGTGAGCATGTGTGTTCTTTTGTTTTGTTTTTTTTTTTTTTTTGGGTGGGGTTTCTAGTTAAATACTCTTTTGATATTCTTTATAAGTTATTTTTACTAATCTCATCAATATTAATATAAAAAAAATATAAAGAATAAAAATGTATAAAATTTTAAATATGTCTGTACATAATAAATTCAAAAGTAATGTTATATTATTTTTTTATAAGAGTAATTTAAAAATAATTTTTAATTATTATTTAAAAAATTATATCATAACTTATAAATGAGATCAAATAAATTTTTTAAAATATAAGTTATAAATGAGATAAGTGGGAGCACGCAGTAGAAAAAAATGATATTTCATTATGTCTCTACAGATCTGAGCTCTGGGACGGTGGACACAGGAAACTAGATAGATATCGTTTGAGTAAATCAAGTTTTTCTTTGGTGATTGCGCTTACACATGGCTTGAAGAGAAAGCTTGCAAAACAGGAGACAGATGCGTACATATTCGTGAAAAATATTGAAATTTGCTAGGCTTTGGATTTAGAGATGCTTTGATTCTAATACCAAGATATGCCCAGGAAATGTAGGCCTAGTGTTCAATGGAACTCAATAACACAACATTTCTTCAGATTTGTGAACAAACTAGGATACCTTTATAAGCATGTACATTCTGGGGAATTTGGAATGGGACACTCCTGCATAAGAAGTGCCTCCATTGTCAAGTGTGAGCACCATCGCAGGAATAAGGAACTGGGAATGAAAGGCATTTCTTGATGGATCCCATTTTCTCCTTCTCGGGGGTTGAATTCCAGTGTCTGAGGGCGCTTTGTGAGCGAGACCGAGCCTTAGCAGATGCAGTGGCTGTCATATAGTTTGGCATCAAAAGATTGGACTTTGCACGAGGAGAAGTACTAGCTGAATGCACCTGATCAACATCCTTCATCTTCACTGGTGGTGGTGTCATGGCCATTGAGATCTCGTGGTGGGCTTTATTATACCCAGGCGAAGACATTGAAAGTTTCGGTGGTTTATACCCACAATATGATCTCTCTTTATCAGTGGGAACAGTGTTAGAGTGAGGACTGTATGTATCCATTTCAACTATTTTGATGGGGTCTCTTTGATCACACGAAGCTCTGCCTCTGTTCTCTCTATACCTTCTCCTCCACCTGGACCCGTCGCTGTCTTCCACCTCTCCCTCGCTGGCCCATGCTTCTTTACTAGTTGTCCATATCTGCAAGTAAAATTCATGGCAGAAATGTGGTTAGCGTGGAGCATATGAGAATTCTGAAAATAGAAATCAAGAAATGAAAACTAGAACTAGAATCGAACCTGATGAGAGAAGGCATCAGCCAGGGACATTTCACGTCTCAAGGAAACTTCCTTTGCTCGCTGTAACACAGCTCGAATATTATCCACTGTTCGTGGGTGGTCATCCCAGCGCATCCGCACTTCCTCTGTCCCGCTCTCGTCTGTGGAATCTGCGTCTCTTTCAAGTTGTGAGAGCCGCTTGGCTCGCTGTTGGCATGCACGAGTTTGAACTCGAACGAGAGCTTGCATGCACTTCAGGGTTAGTTTAGCTCGCTTTCGTACATTATGACCTCTTACTAATGCTTGCAGCTTCACTAATCCTTTAAGTGCCCCAAGAGCTCTCCTGGCCTAATTATTCATGACCGCAATTACATGGATGTTAGTCAAATATAATGCGCGTTCATTCAGATAGTAGCAAGCGATTTTCTTGTCTAATTACCAGGTAGCCTCTGAAAACTGTTTGGATTACAATGGCTGCGTGGTGTTCTCTGACAAAGAAGGAAGGCTTAGAAAGGCGAACGACCTCCACAGCTGCTTGAGCAGCTGCTAATGCTGCCTCAGCAGCTGCTGTGGTTGCCATGGCCACTGCAATTGCATGCATATGCTCTGCATTACAACTTGCTGCGATCACATCAGCTATACTCGTTATGGTTCTTTCTTCGCAATGTTGGGCTGTTGTCTCTTGGCCGAAGGGGTTTCTGAAGATCCATCTTCGTTTTCCCCTCTTCTGCACAGTATCAAAAAAAAAAAATTAATGCTTTGTTTGCACATCTCAATAGTTTCTTTTATCCCTTCAGTTCAATAAAAACAGTGAACTCATATTGTAAAGTAGAAATTAAGTTCAAAATTAAATGAAGTATGTGTTTGAGAGGGTACCTTTTTGTCGTCCTCTTGTTCATGCTCTTCTCTTGCCCTCCTGCTTCTCTTGTCCTTTTCTTTGGTAGGAGACCTGAATGCCCTTGTCACAGTAGCCAGCCATGAGCCTCCTGCTGCCTTCCCCATGAAAAAGAAAATATGCACCACACCAAAGCGTCTATCTATCAATAGCAGTGAAAAAAAATTATGTTGCAGCATGTCAAGTTATCTTGGGAATGGAAGTATTGTATGTGAGTAGGTGGTATCTGTAAATGCAACATGCACGGAGAAATAAATGGGGAGGGGGTAACATTCATGGCCGTGTTGTCATTGTAAATAAAATCATGCTGGTCTGAATTCCGGAAGCGAGGGATAAAGATACATAGCTAGTCCATGCATTTTGGGAACAGCTCTGAATTACGTAGGCACAAAAGGTTAAGGGGTGTGCAGAAAAATAATGGTTCCTGTTTTGGTGGTTTGTGGGGCATGGTAATGTAGTTGGGCGTCAGGTCAGGCACTTGGAGGGCAGCATAAAGAGGGAATACCCTCGATACTGCCAAAAGCTGCAACCCCCACAATAAAGAAAACACCAAGAGGATTTTAGAGCTTTGGCTTCTTTAATTAGTATCTGCTGCTTGCTTTCTCAGCTCTCCCAAGTCCAAATATAAAGCTAGAGGGGATTTTGAGCCAAGAGTTCACAAATGAGAGGATCGATCTAACTGCAATGCCGGTGCTGGTGCGCTACTGGGCATGAGATTATTGTCAAAGAATTTAATTTATTTGAGCAAATCACTTGAAATAGGATTCATATGGGGGAAGCAAACTCTCTTACAACTTACAAGGGAATGTGGGAAAGTGAACCAGTCAAACTTCGTTGGATTCTGTCGTCTGTTTGTCTTTAGCTATATCTCTCGTCCTTTTTAGATGACTACATGCTTGGCTGCCAGGACCGAAATTTTTAATGATTCTGACTTGCTTTAAGGAAAATTCTGTCGTGGCTTCAGTATTCATGCTGCGCATTAGTGTGACAATCTCAGAGGCAAAGATGACAACTAGAAAGACAAGTATGAATATTACAACCCGCCATAGCCTAAAATGGTTGCTACATTATTAATCTGACATATATATCATCCTACTGTCTCTTCACAGATTTTCAACTGTATGCGCCCTCACTTTAACTGCACTCGTGAGCTTTGCAACGATATGGCTGCCCCGCATGGTCGAATCTTTATATTTTTCTTAAGTATAACATAATACACCGATATATAAACTGAATGAAATTAATCTAAATTACTGAACATGCAACCTTAAAGAAAATGACCATGGAAAACAATGGCTGACGATATATATGCTTCTCAAAGACGCCAGCATGTTTATGTCGTTCAAGTTTGAATGAAGTGTCCTTCTCTTTTATCCACTTTGGTCGTCACTGCTTTGATGGGAATTGGAAAGACAGCAGAACTGTGTGTGTGGATTGCAAGTGCCTTCAGCTTCTACAAATTAACGCTTTTATAGGTGACGGGGCACTAATCCAACTAAGTCCACTGGTTGCTGATGCAATCATTTTACTGTTTGTATTGTATTGCTTGAAAGATGATTTATGATCAACTTATTGGAAAATATTCGAATTTTTATATATACTAATACTAACCAGTAATAGCTATTCGTCCATTATGCATGAAAAATCAAATTCCTGAGGCTCTTGTTATCGAACTAGACGTTCAACCAGGTACAATAATAAAATTCAAACACGTGGTTTTGATTAATTTTTAAAACAATTCTAGAAAGTAGTGTTTAGTCGAGAATAATTATATGCGGCCATTAAAGTGTTTTAAAAAATCAACTTAACCAGATAACTACTTGAGAAAAATAATTGACGTTAAACTCTAGGCAAGGATACGCCCAGTAACACCCTTCTTCTCATCAGGACACTTCCTTTTGAAGGGGGGGGGGGGAGGACTAAACGTCACTTTCGGCATAAGAATAAATTGTGGTGACTCTAGTTATACAGTATAGAAAATTCCACACATGTGCGTACTGCTGAACCAGCGCCAAAATTAATCAGTTAATTGAAGTGATAATCATGATTCGCCTGACAAGCCAATCACGCCATTAGAGAACGTTAATCTTGCACGAAGTGCCAAATGCCGACTTCCACCAATCAAAGAGATGAAGGAATAGACAGATCATAAGGGTAACGATCCGTGCATGATTGATCCCTACTTATTATAATGTAATACTAATAACTAGCTAGAAGTCCGCTGGTTACCTGGGATTTTTAGGCGATTTATGTTAAATTCTAAACTTACTTTTATATCATCATAATCCGTGGGAGATTATAACCTGTTCCCTTCCCCGAGCATGGGAGCTGGGCCGTAAAGATAAAAGCTGGACCGTCAAGTAGGTGTTTTTTTTTTTTAATTAAAAAAAAAGGGTAGTTTGTTGGGACCACGGACCAGTTTGCATTTGCATATGCGTCGAGTGTTAAACATTTAATGATGATATATAATGCGTGACATGATCATGGCTGATAGAGAGCGCATAACCGCCAAAAGCATTAAGAATGGCGTTGTTAATGCCATTATGCCACTCGCTCACACATTTGCATGCATGGTGAGTCAAGAGTCAATTACAACCTCCTTCGATATGATTATTAAACGAATACCTTAATTGATTACGCGAAATCATTTTTATCCCAATCAAATTTAATAGCGCCCCGAAACCGCTACCTCATTCTCATATTTCCGCTCCACGCGAAAATACTTGTATCGTGCAACCACGCAAGTTTATCTCCGAAGGCAGGGCATTGCCAAGCTTGAAGCCCAAATGATCTTTGGTATGTCACAGTCGCAGGGATGATTAATTGTCCAAAGCGTCGACAACTTTCCATGTCAAATATTCATTCTATGCACTGACAAAGTCAGGAAATAACATCTATGTTAAACTCTTGTACCCATGCCATTATTTCACAATTTCTCCATTTCCACTATTCACGCTAGAAAAAAAGGTCAGCAGAGCAGCTTGGACTGTTCTCCAAGTTTCATGGTGAGTGTTCGAAAACTTATACTTTGCCAGCAATTGAAATTTGTAATTTTTTCACATAATTAAAGTGACGCACGGATCTTTTGTCATACTCCTTCAAAAAATACTGCAATAATGGCTCTCCCTGAGACAGCAATAAAATAACAGTGTAGTAGTTGTCATTGTCACCCATTCCACCGTCGCCCCACCAACAATCTGCACTTTTTATTCCTAATTGTTTCTGAGGAACAAGACGATAGACTTACTTCGCATTCGCAACCAAGTTTGGCATTAATTCAGGTAAATAGTAACGAAAAACAGTAGGTTTTTATTGTTTTCTTCCGTCACAAGTTATTCCCTTTGGATGCATACTGCTCGGTTTTATGTTTGTAATTACTTGTTATTATCATCTCCTGACTCCTGTAGTCCTGTGGCTGCATGAATTTTTGTTCTGCTGTTAGTTAAATTGAATAACTGCCTCCCTCCAAAACTCGAGTTTTCAATCAAAACGCCCAGAAACAGAAATGGAAATAATAATCCGGGACAAGTCAGCCCAAACCCTCCCCCAAAAGCTTACCCGAGTCAGGGGGAAAAATGCTTTCCTTGAGAAAATAATCCAAGTGATTCATTCAGGCTCGTGAATGGACAAATTCTAGGTGTTGGATCATTACTGATGATAGGAGGGACTTGTACGATTATTATGATAAGAAAAAAAAAAAAGATTAATTCCATAGGTTGAAGAGTTGTGAATTTGTAATCTTGTGCCCTTCATTTATACATCTGTTAGTTATGAATCACAAACCTAACAGCTGCAGGGCGGTCGAAAGCATGGCTCCATGTTTGATTCACACATACATACACAAGGTTCCATGTTTTCCTTTCCCTTCCTCCCTTCTTCGTCAATGCCACTAAACAACCCAAAGTATTACATTAACCGTCACAAACAGAAACAAAGAAAGGAAGGAGCAGAAGAAAAGGTTCAATACCGAACAGCCAAAAAAGGAAACCAAGAACAAAAAAGTATTTGATTTGTTTTGATATATTTATGTTACTCATTTCCTTCAGGTATGGAATCCAGTTGTGGTCTCCAACTGCATGGTAAATCAAGAGTCCTGCTTTGGACGTCGGACAGTACGTCCTCTAAGGAAATCTGTTTTGCGACCAACTGCTCGAGCTGCTGCTTCGTGATAACGATTTTGACCCTTTTCATCCCACTACCTGCGTTCGTGTTTCCAGGAGAAGAAAGATTTGGAAGCAAGTAATACAACCTTCCAGCCTTCAATTCGTGATCCGGGGAGAGAGGATCCGAGGCTTCCTTCGACACACAAAGGATCAGAGCAGGAAAATCTTCCAGGATCTGCCTCACAACAACGGGAGTTCTGAATTCAAGTATCTTTCCGTCGGGTTTGGTTACCCTGACGATTGTACCCTGCTGGGCCAAAGCAGAGCCAGAGCAGGGGTCGCAAAGGGCAAGGCAATTACCCATTTTGATTTGAAGTGAAGCAACTGAAGGAGATGGAGAAGATGAGTTGGGAGATGGCTACAGAGGACGCAGAGAAACAGGGTGAGAAGAGAGAGCGGAGGGAATTGCGTCAAGAGGTATGGAAACGAGATATATATATAACATACAGTGACCAAGAGGTGTGTCCCTGTATGTTAATTCGGTGTGGGGACGGCGGATGGGGTTGTTTCGTGTCGAGTGGACCAAAAAGCTGAGCCGGGGTGAGCCATGATCATGAATGATAGATTTTTGTGTTGTGAATGGAAAATGAAAGGTTTGGTAACAAGCACACTGCACGGTGGTCGGTTAGTGGAACGTGGTGCAATTGCATTCCTCTTTTAAGCCCCTTTGTGCAGTCGCTCTCTTTTTCTCTTCATCATGTTACATACTACATTTTAAACTCTACTGAAAATATAATCTTTATACTCTCGTATAATGTGCCCTAGATATTAATGGCACAAATGGCATGCAATGGTGCGCTTGGCAGCTGCACACTATTACATCAAGAAGCACCCTCGCATTTTCGTGCCCTTGCTTTCCCCTCTCAGATTGCATCACCGTTATGGGTTCGGTGACGTCAAAGGATAATGTGGCGTTAGCTTGCAAGACTTGGCCGGTACGGGGAATGTATAAGCAGAAGTGAAGAAAGATTAGACGGTGCCACTGATTATTAACTTCCATTATTCTTTTGTTTGGGGCTAAAAAGTTAAACTCGTGGAGCTGCTAACTGCTATTTTTGGCTGTTCGTGTCAAGTACAAAGTGCGTAGTGTTACGGTTTAGGATAGTTTATGGGAGAGAATATAATTATCATTGATAGCATAAAAAATAAAGGGAGCGTGATTGAACAGGGCAGCGAAAAGTGAGGGAAGCAAAATCAAAATTTTGCAAGGAGTCCCCTTATTTAAACGTCACTGGGGTTTGAGACTGAATATAGTAGTGGGGTTCAACAACTACGGCCAAACTACAATGAAAACGTCCTCCCACCTGTAACATTGTTTAGTGCCATTGTCCCTTGAAGTATCTCATAGAATGGTCAAGCGTATTGGAAAATCATATAGAAAATATCTCTCGAGTCATGTTCAAGGACATCGTCCTTAATTCTAACTTCCAGTTTTTGATATTTATCTTCCTGGAACTCTTCTTGTGTGAGCAACGTGGAACATGTCTTACTGACACACAAACAAAAACTAGAACAAAGCGCCCCTAAAATAAGTCATATGATAAAGTGGACACGTGACTTGGGGCAAAGGCCGTACACTAATGCTGCAATTTTTTTTGTGGGGGTTGCGTTATTTGGGTAGGAATTCATCCATATCGAACGCTGATCTTGCCCAGGGGTCAGTGTCCTGGGCAGCATGTCAATATAAGATCTTTAAATATATATCAAGTAATTATGCACGAGCTATAAATGATAGGAAAAATCATAAAGAAGGATCTCTAGATCATGTTATTTGCAAAAAGGAGTAAATGATTGCACGATAAATAGATCAAAATATAATTAAATTTTAGTGTAAAAAAATAAAATTATCTTTCATTTTTGAAAAAAAAAAAAAAAACTCCTCACTCTCAGCAACCAAACCATCTTGCTATATTAGCTACCACAGCTTCGACGTGGGTCAAACAAATTAATTTTTTTTTTTTAAGGTGGTGAGCGAATTTTGATCTCACATCCTCCATTCACCAAAAAGATAATTAATTATTAGACTAATAATTTCTCTCAATTATATAATACAAATATATATATATATATATATATTTATTTAACTCTATTTTCACTTTTTCATGTTAATACTTATCAAAAACTTAACGATTACTTATTATTATATAAATGGCTACTTATTAAATTACTAATAGAACTTGTTAAAAAATTTAATATGCATTAATTTTTATAAATGTTTACTTGTTTTAATTATCAAGAATGATAAATCCTCATTAGTAATTTAATAGGTAATCATTTGTGAAATGATAAGTCTCGTTATAAACTTTAAAAATTTCTCTTGATAATTTAACAAACAAGTTACTATTGATAATTTAACAAATAATTATTTATGAAATAATAAGTCCCATTGCTGGCTTTGAAAATTTCTCCTAATAATTTGATAAGTAAATTTTAGTAATATAACAAGTTCATATAAATTTTTAACATGTAAGCTTTTGGTAATAAAAATAATTAAACATTTATAAAAATTACTCCATATTAAATTTTTTTAATAATTTTCTATTGATAATTTAACAAATAACTATTTGTGAAATGACAAATATAGTTACTACCTTTGAAAAGTTCTCTCGATAATTTGATAAGTAAATTTTAACAAAATAACAAATTCACATAAGATTTTGACATGTAGAATTTTAGTAATAAAAATAAGTAAACATTTATAAAAATTATTTCATATTAAATTTATTTAACAAATTCTCATTGATAATTTAATAAGTAATCATTTGTGAAATAACAAATCTCATTATTAGCTTTAAAAAATTCTTTTGATAACCTGACAAGTAAATTTTAACAAAATAATAAGTTTACATAAACTTTTAACATGTAAGCTTTTTGGCAATAAAAGCAAGTAAATATTTATAAAAATCAGTACATATTAAATTTTGTAACAAGTCTCATTACTAATTTAATAAGTAACCACTTATAAAATTACAAGTAACCATTAAGTTTCTAACAAAGATGTGTATGGAGAGTGAAAATAAAGTAATATATATATATAAAGATTTACTTTATATAATTAAAAAAATTGCTAGCCCGATGGCTAATTATTTTTTTGGTTACTAAAAAGATGTGAGTTCAAACTTCTCCTTCATCACCTTAAAAAAATTAATTTAGTGATAGTGAGGAGAATTTTTTTATAAAAAAATGAGAAATAATTTTATTCTTTTATGTTAAAATTTAATTATATTTTAGTCTCTTGATCCAGCAGAATAAATTTAAAATTATTTGATCCTTTTCTGTAAATAACATGCTCTAGGGGTTTTTCATTGTGATTTCCCTGAATAATAATGTAAGGAAACGCTTTGTCCGGTTTTAAGTGCTTGTAGGCTGCAGTGGGCCCTACTTATCGGATGTCCTTGTCTCCCTTTGAAAAGAGAGCAGACAAAGATCTTCTCAATCCACCGCATGCCCCTTTTCATTGCCCACTATAATTGCTCCACTTTGTTGACTCCCTGATTACTTGTCTCCTCCAAAATTGCTCGATTGGATCAAAAAATTTTGTGACATCGACTTTATTTTTCAAATTGATCACTCGTGAACATATGATCTGATCCCATTTAATGTAACACCAGTGGAAACCAATTGGACATAATAAGACAGTGATTATACGAAGCCGCCGAAGAGTGCGTGCTCAAGGGACTGTTTTGTTCTTCTGGATGAAAAGCCCAGATCTATATGGATTAGGGATTGCGGGGGCTATTATAAATTTGTTGTCGAGTCAGAAAACATAAATTTATATTTCATCAAAAAAAAAAGAAAGAAACGTAAATTTATAAATAGTGCTCTTAAGGAAAATAGGGATTGAGGAGTCAACATCCAACCGCTTCTTTGCTTTGATGTGGACAATGGGGGAGGGTCCGCCTTTTTTTGGTCTTATCCGTCCTGCACACCCACCCCTCCAATGTCCGGCCTTTTTAAAAAAAATAAAAAAAATTATGACATCATATTCTGATCTCAAATGGATCGGATTCGATTGAACATTGGCACATTAGATATTCCAATAAAAGAATAAATATATAAAAAGAGACGGGGCTGCGTGGAAAGAAGACAAAGTTGTTGTAAAGAAGAAAAGAACACAAAATAGAAATAAAAAGATGAAAGGGCGTGAGGAGTGGGGCGGGGGGTGGATTGTTAGAGGGGTCTAGCCTGAGGGATATACTACACGTTCACATTTATAATTGAAATAAGTCCCGGCATATAAAATACCGAGACAGCGGGTGTAAATTGAACTCATTGGAAAAGTCAAAATGCCTTTCATTTCTGGAGCCAAAAATAAGAGTGGAGTTTGAAGAATTGAGTTTGAAGGTCCTGTTTAAATAAAAGTTCGGGTTTTAAAAATAAATTTTTTTAAAGTAATCGAGCTTGAGGGCTTGATCCTGATAAATCCTGTAAAAAAAAGTTCGGGTTCGGGCAGCCCTTCAAGCCCTGTTATATTATTATTATTATTATTATTTTCTTTGGTGGAATACATATTTGAAGCCAATGACCTGCTCACCTGATCCTACACGCATTATATTATTATTAATTTTAATTTATTTTAAAATTAATTTAATAAATATCAGTGTATGGTATAAAATTCTTGATATTTTTTATTTTTCTATAATTATTATGTTTGTGTATTTATAAAAAATAAATTATTTTTAATTAAGATTTAAATTTTATTATTAAACTTCTAAATGTGTGTTATTTAATTTTTAAAAAATTATAAAGATTTTATTTTTTAAAAAATTTAAAATATTTTAATTAATTTATAATGTTTAATTTTATTTTTATTTTTTTATTTTTTTTAAAAAAAGACTTGCAGGCCCGACCCTAAGCCCTTCATATAAGAGTCGGGCTTAAAAAATAATATTTAAAATTGGAAATCGAGTTTTAGGATTTAAGTCCTTAAGAGTCAAGCTCATAAAAACTAAATTCACTCATATTTTCAACTCTATTCACTCCCCCGTTCCAAAATTGATTCTCCACAGTGATTCAACTCTGAAAATTAAACGACGGCAAACCTTCCCATGCGTTCAATATTTACTATTACCATTCTTTTAATTGCCCTCTCAACAGTTATGTGCTTGCGTTTTAGCATCCCCGTGCAATGCACGTGCTTGTAATATACCATTAACTCGTATGTTTTACAAGAAGGTTACTGAATCTGAATCAAACAAGCAACAGCCTTCGTGTTTTAGCGGCCTTTTGGGTTTCAAAATATTTTTTAATTTTGAAAACACACAAATGAAAATCTCATTTCAAAATGTGTTTTCTATTATTTATTATAAAAAGTGAAAAACAAAAAAAAATAAAAATTATTCTGGGAAACTAAAAATATAATATCTTTTAGATGTTTTGTTAATTTTTTATTCTGCAAAATTAGAGAAAAAGGCATAAAAAACACATTTTCATTAATAATAATTTTACTAATAAATGGGTAAAGTGGCAAGTTTGGCTACTAACTATTTTTTTTAAAAGTACTAGGTAACTTATCCTATCAGGTAATATAAAATAAATTCTCAACTTTCAAATCGAAGCATCTAATAACCTATTGTTAATTTCACTCGACGAACATTATGAGACTCACAACATTTAAATCTCTTTAATTTTATTGTTTTTATTCTTGTCTCAGCTCAAGAAAAAAAGCTCAAAGAATTATTATCTGAAGACATTTACAGTGGTGATGTCGATGAAGTGGAAATTTCATTTTACTATGTATGAGAAAAGCTTGATTCTAGTTTAATTTAGCCATAAATTATTTTTCTACTTTGTTGGCATCATCCTCGTAAATGTCTTCAAATAAAAACTTTTTGAACATCTTCTTCTCAAACTTAGATATAGGACAAAGACAAGAAGATTTAAGAGATTGCGTGTTGTGGGTCTCATAAGTTTTAAAATAAAGAGTATTTGGTTAAAATTAATAGAAAAGTGTTGTATGATCTTTTTTTTTTAATAATAGAAGCTACCCCAGTGCTTGTCGAAAAATAGTCTGTGGCTAAAATTGCATCTTTACATGCACTGAGGTGGAGTGTCACATGTCATTTTTGAGCCCCACAAAACATCTGTCAAGTGAAATTAACAGTGGGCTATTAAATGCTTTGTTTTTTAAAGTTTAGGATTTATTTCACACCGTCTGATAATATAAGCTATCCAATACTCTTGAAAAAATAGTTAGTGGCCAAATTAATATTTTTACCCTTGATAAGTTAAACTATTCTTTCACTTTTTATCTTACTATGTTTTTCAAGATAGTGATCCAAACAAGTTTTTTCCCCTAAAAATTGTCCTAAAGAACCTACTATTTTATAGAATTGTTTCAAGAACATAAAAAAAAAAACATAATCAAACAAACATTTGGTCTTGTTGGGCATATCTTACTGCATGGTTCCTCTCTCTATCTCCTCACTTTTATTTAGGACCTGTTTGGTTTAAGGAAAGAGTTTTAATGTTACCTTATTTAGTTTCAAAGAAGAGGAGAAAAAAGGTAATTATATATAGACAGTTTTATCCTCGTACTATTAAAATTATTTTTCTAATATAATATAGCACTAAATATTTTTTTACATGTAATTATAAATATATAGAGTAATTATCATTATTAAATATATTATTAAAAATATATCATTACTAAATTTATTTAAAAAGATAAAAAGTAACAATTAAAAGAAAAGATATATTAGTTATTGTGCAACAAGCCATACGCTTCCCTCCCAATCCCTTCAATTTGAGGACCCAGCTTCTCTTCATTTTTTTCTTTCTCCACTTCCTCTCCATTTTCCATCTCAATCGTTAGATTCATTTTTGAACGGTTGAGATTTGATGTTTCATAAAATTATTATTATATTCATTTTTTATAAAATTTTATATTTTAATAATAATTTTATGAAACATCAAATCTCAACCGTTCAAAAATAAATCTGACGGTTGAGATGAAAAGTGGAGAGAAAGTGAAGAGAATAAAAAATGAAAAGAAGCCAAGCCCTCAATTTGGAGGGATCCTCTCCTCCTCGACACTTTTCCAAACCAAATAATGGGAGGGTAGAACCCCTCCACTCCACCCAAACATTGCTTTAATCAATTTCATAATTCCATTTGATTAGTCTTATCCTTCTCGTTCTTCCCTCTCTGCTCTCAGCCGTGTCTTCATTTCTTTTAAGCAAACTCAATCTCAATTAACAAAATAATTTCCTAACTAAACTCAATAGTTCCTTTTTTTTTTTTTGCCCTTTGTACAATAAGCACAATAATATCAGGTAAAGAACAAGAGAAGCCCACGTTTCTCAGGTCCGAAAATAATGGGCCGGGCCCTGAAACTTACGTTATTAAATTTGTAAGGGCTTCAAGCAGGGACAGCCAAGGTCGGATTGCCCGATTGCTCGAAGTCGCAGTGAAGAATTGAAATGTTGTGGCCCAAATGAGAAGATAACGATAGGTTTTTTTTTTTTTTACAAAAAAAAGTACATAAACTCTTAAAAATAATGCACAAGTGTACATGCCAACTTTCGACTTTGCAAACAAGGAGAGGATATCTTGCCAGTTGCCACAGTTACTTCTTCTGGGGATCGAATGTTCATGTGCTTCAGTTTTCGACCAAAACTCACGTCTCAGACCTAGTGTACTGTTTTTTATGCATCTTTTTTAAAAAAATTAAAAAGGATATATAGAAGATAAAAATGCGTATAATATGCTCCTTGACAACAACATAAATTATATAAAAAATAAAAAACGTGAGATCTATTTCCATTCCCTTGTCTTCTTCCCACGTCCCTTCTCGTTTCAACTCTACCTCCCAACTCTTCACCAGCAAAACGAATCTGCACCCACAAATGCACTACATACATTATATTACTAATTAATATCTCTTCCCTTTTTCTTTTGTGCATAACAAAGTTCAATCCCTTCCAAAATGGGTTCATGTAAAATTGAAAACCACGAGTTAACTATTTATTGGAAGAAAAATATTAAAACAATAACAGCACTCAACCATTAAATTAATTTAAGAAAGCAAATCTCTTCGAATGTAAGTTTTCATGGATTTAGTGGAAACAGAAACATAGTTTTAGATTTCATGCGAGCTGAGGCAGAAGCCGACACATACCTCGCTGGGATGGGGAAGGTGTAAAACAATAAAGGCCAACGGACATTGATTTTGAGTGGAGGAATGTGGCTGGCAGTAATCCGTGACAATCATTTTCAAACTGGAAAAGGATCATAATTCGTTTTCACTGTTATTAAAATCAGACCAGACCAGCCAGTTCAACCGGTAACCAGTCCCCAGTCTGATTCGGTTATCACCAAAAATCAAAAATTTCAAAAACCGGTCGAAAATAGGCAGAATCAACCAAAAACCGGCCAAAACTGGGTAAGAATCGGTTGAACCGGTTATGTTATTTTTTTATTTTTTGTATTTTAAATTCATATTTTTAAATTATAATTTATACATATTTATACTTAATAAGCATTATGAAATAAAAAAATACAAAAAATATTTATGAATTATGCATGTGTGTATATATTTTAAAATTATAAATTATGAATTATGAAATACTTATATATATTTTGGATGAAAATTATGTAATATTAATGGATGTTATATTTTTTGTTGTATATTATTTTGTTTGAAATTTAGACATTCATTTTTGTTACTATATGTGATTATTCCTTTATATTTTAAATATATTAATTTATTTATGACCGGTTGAACCACGATTCAAACCGCAGTTCGACCATTGAATCGTGAATCATTACCTCGACCAGTTTAATGACCAGTCCGGTTCTCATAACATTGTTCATTTCTCCTATTTTGATTACAAGGTTACGGCAAAGCTATGCAAAGGAACTATATTTTAGTCATATCTAAAATTATGAGGTTGGTATAGTCAATCAAGGGAACATAAAAAATGATAACTTCAAAAGTGTTGTGTGTCGATCGGTGGGTTAAGAGATCCACACATCTACTAGCTTCTCTGTAAATGTGATCAGAAATAACAATCCAGTCTCTCATAGTGAGTTCCTTGATCTTTATGATAATATCAGATAATGGGTGACTTCTAAAGTATGTGCTGTTAATGATTGATAGAACTTCTATCAAATCCATGTGGATATTGACTTTGTCTAATTTCATATTCCAACAGATGTTGAGATCTTCAAGGATTCCCATAAGTTCAACTGAAGTGTTAGATTGATATCCAAGGAATTTAGAAAATTATTTGATCCAATTTCCTTTGTCACATATAATAATGTCTCCACAAGTTACAACTCTATTAATGTTAACTAAGCTGTTAGTATAGAGTCTAACCCAATCATGCTTCAGTGGGCTTCATTTGACTTAACTACTAGTATCACTTCTAATCAAGTAGAGGGTTTTGGACAGGAGCTTTAAGTCATTATTAATTTGTTGGATGTTGGAAAAGACAATGTCACTATCCGTAGTATCATCTTCAGAATATAACTTCTTACATTTATTTTTCTAAATATTTCAGCAAACTTGAGCAAAAAGTCTCTGTCACAACGTTCTTTTTATTTTTAAGTTATTTTGAATACCCACCTCAGATAAGAGTTTTGGGTACTTAGAATTCAATGAGAATAAGGATCAACACAAATAGATTAACACCTAAATAGATTCAAACCATGCCGAATCCCATGCCCCTCAATCTATTTGTCTCCACATCTATTTTATTCACTTGGATCACCTACACTTTTCATTGTACATAGCTAATGTTTTATTAAAGACAATTATATTCATATTCAAAGTCAAATCATGGGCCAACACTAAATGTATATGTATCAAAATTCAAAGTTTAGTTCATAACATTATCAAAAATTAGTGTCTCTCGCTGGACTTGATTTCTTGGCTGGTGTTTCTACACCACTAAGATGTCTTGTTGCTTCTTCAAGAATCAAACACCCAACAAAACTTGGGCGTAATTTCTCTGCGTGGTCCCGACGTTTCAAATGGCGTGAAGGCATTATTCCACACGTTGTTATAATTATAATATATCTGGTACTATGATAGTAATATAGTAAGCGAGTAAATATTTGATCAAATCAGTGATGGAGAAGGCGAGAGACGCCGCGAAGTTGAATCTAACGAGGCACGTATCTTCGGACCAGTGAGAGTTTGGGAAGTTTTGATATGGGCATATGGGCGAACTCCTAGAAGGAAATAATGATCAAAATTATCTACATATAATATTCATAAATTGTTACTCCGGTTGTCTTTTTGCCTGCCTGTAAAGTTGCCCTCTCTGCAACACGGGATGCGTAAATTCACTGCTTCTACACTTTCATTCTCGTGTTTCTCTTTCCCCTAACTTCCCAAACCTTTTATCACTGTCCATCCAAGTTTCTCGTCAAGGGAATTTTAGTTGTAGAATCCGAGGAAACGTCAGAAACAGTACAACATTTTTTCTGGGGTTGATTGGATGAATTGTTTCCTTCACCATACTTACAACCAACCAAACGGCTCCTTATGATTCCGTCTTCTGCCTCCTTCCACGATGCTTTCTTGATTTTATTTTGTTTCTAGGCTTATGTCGCAGTGATTTTAGTGGTTCAGGGCCGTGTGAATTGAATTGGTACGTCTCAGCAGAGCCAAAGTAATATGGCGAGTCCAAACAGAGCCAGACAAGTTGGTGACACGACCTATACCAAGATCTTCGTTGGGGGATTGGCTTGGGAGACCAAAAGAGACGCTCTGAAACACTATTTTGGGCAGTTCGGAGAGATATTAGAGGCTGTTGTTATAAACGACAGAAGCAGTGGAAAATCAAAAGGCTATGGCTTTGTAATCTGGCTCTTCTACCCTTTCTTGGCATATTGTCCAAGTCTTCTCTCCCTTGCTTCATTCACGCTCTTTTATTGTTTGTTTCAGGTGACATTCAAGAGCCCAGATTCTGCAACGAGAGCTTGTCAGAATCCCTATCCTACGATTGATGGGAGGAGAGCTAATTGTAATCTTGCAGCTCATGGTGCCCAAAGATTCAATCCATATGCAACAGGTTTGTTGCTTTGCTCTAATCCTAAAATTTCCTGATAATCCTATTGCCACACATTGTTTACATGCAAACATTCTTTACTCTAAAAAATTGCAGTTGCAGGAAGGGAGAAATTTAGTACAACTTATTGGCCTACTGTTTCAGTTCCATTTCAAGGAATCTCCTCTTATTACAATCAGCACATACCCCAGCATGCAATTCCTTATCCTCCGTTCAGGTAAACAATCGAGACTTTTTATTGTTTATCCACAAATCTGTTAGATTCTTATGAGCTTTCTCTTTTAATTATTCAGGTATCCAGGATACCCACCCACACAAGAAATTTACGCGATGGTTAGTTTGCTAACAAAGTAGCTGCTTCATACAAGTTTTGAATACCCAAATCTAAGGGGGCCCGTGCTTCATAGTTGCATTGCAACTAGTCAAATTTGCACAAACGCATCAAGAAAAGGAAACAAGTACAGTGTAGGTTTTGATTTGGATTATGTTGTTCTGTACAGAACTATTATAATCACTATGGAGGACAGCAGATTCCAATTCGTTGGCCTTCAGCGCATTACCAGCCGTTTTATGGCGTCGAACAGTTCGTTCCACCAACTTGTTTGAAAAAGGGGCAATACCCTGATCCTCCATCTCAGGAACTGTTCACAGCCGCGGGCTTATCACAGCCTATCTCAGCTTCTCCTTCAATACCCACCACAGGTTCGCCATCTAACTAATGCTAGAAGTACAAACACATCATCTTCTTCTTGCTCTCTCAATTGAAACAGGATTGGTCCCAGGAACGGGAGGAGCAGAAATCTTGTGCTGAAGCTCCGGAGGAGATCACGGCAATGGGGCTGAAAAGTTGGTGTTTTGAACAAGGTAGTATGGACGGCCCAGATTTTTCTTGTTAGTTCACCTGGGATATTCTTGAGCTTTGACTCAATTCACAATCTCAATTGTTTTAAAATAAAAATCATTATTTATAATTTTAGAATATCATTAAAACAAATCAAGCTAAGAAAATAATACTTGAAGTTTTTGGAATATTATTCTTAGCTTTTAACATATGAACCCTGCTAAAATATTTACAACAAAAATTGGAAGAATAAAAAAGTTCTAAGGACGGTAATGAAATATGTGTAGAAAATTTATAAGAATAAAAAATTTGCATAGAGCTTGAGAGAAAAAAAAAACATTGATTATAATTCATGAATATTGTGACTTCTTGTAAGTTTTATATAATATATTAACATTGATTACTAAGGAACATGAAAATAAAAGTCAGCTTTTGTTTAGAAAATATTAGTTCATAAAATATTTGGGTAAAAACAAAAGTTATATTAATATTTAAATTAATGCACAACACCTTGAATGCAAACGTTTTTAAAACTCCTTATAGAAATCTGGGCATGCTCCACGGACTATGTTATGTTATCTATAGCGTATAGATGAAGCACTTTTTATCCATGTATCAAACAAATTCACTACGGCTTAAAGCAACAAGACAATTTGTTTTGTGTTGTTTGATTCTTGCCTCCTTGGGAGCTTTTGTCTTGTGTGTTGGATATTTTTCAGTTAAACGAAGAATTTGATATTTGTTAGAAAAGGGGAAAGGAAAAAAGAAAATTCTGGTAAGTGATAGAAAACAAAAATAGAATGTGGTACTTGGTTATTATTAAGTGTGTGTTGGTTTTCAAATTATTAAAAGTTCATTTGATGAAAGTTTATTTAGTAAAAATCAGTTTAATAAAAGTCAGTTATTGTAACGAAATTTGTGTTTGAATATATTTTTTTAAAAATTAATTTAATAAATTAAAAATTGTTTGAATTAATGATGATTTATGCTTTTGAAATGCACTTTTGAATGTATAATGATAAAAAAGGATATTAATTTATGATAATTTATAATTTTTGTTATACAAATATAATATATAAAAAATGTAAAAAAATTTTAAAATAACATAAAATTTAATATGTTAAATAATAAGAATAAAAAATGTAAAGTTTAATGTTAAAAAAATAATAATAAATAATTTAATAGTCATTACTATTGAATGGCATACCCTATAAATAGGATTAAAAATATTTTTTTTTCTTTTCATATACAAAAGGTTTACAAAATTGCCTCCTTATATAATTTATTTGGCCTTGTGGCTATTACACTAAATTTAAATTTTAATAAAACAGAGCAAGCAATAAGTACAATAAGAGAATAAAGGCAAGCATAGTAAATTCAAAAACTCAACAATAGAAAGTCAGTTTGAAAAACTTCAAAAAGTTAAATTCTCAAATCCATTTTCAATAGTATTCTCAATGTACATTTAAAAAGTTAGTTTGCTCAATTATAAAATTCTCAAAGAACATCCTACATCTAAAAAATACAAAAATACATTCTAAAAGCTAAAAGTTATGTATCCAAATGAGTCTTAAGTTATATCACAAATTTACACTTACACAGTGAACTTCTCGACCCAAAAAAACTCACTCAACTTTAGCGATATTTTAAAAAAAACTTATTTAATATTTTTAAAAAGAAAAGAAAACTAAATAGGATAAAGTCATGTCTTTCAAAACCAAGCCTTTATTTATTACTCTATTTTTTATTGTTAAAAAAATTATCTTTTTGACATAAAATTAACCTTTTCAATAAAGCTTATTGCATATTTTTAAAATTACTCCTCATAATTTATATTAATAAAAAATAATTAATATATGTTTATATTAATTAATAAATGATATTTTAGTTCAATTTTTTTATTTTTAAATATAATTATTATAATTAACTAATTTTTTTAAATTATATAATATAATTATAGATATATATATATATATATAAATGAAAGGATTTTATAACTAATTATTAAAGCCGACAGCCGCCTTTGATCACTGCACTCCGTTGCATCTCTAACCAAAAGTGCAAAACGTTGGAAGTTCGAACAGGCAAGAAAGAGAGAAACCAATTATTAAAGCCTTTCCTTCTTTCTTTCTTTCTTTCTTTTTTTTTTTTTATATAATTATTAAAGCCTTTCTCGTGAAAAAGACATCGGAAGCCAGTAGTATGGGCCCGGCCCATTTCCTCGATCTATCTATAACAGCAGCCCTTTTTTTTTTTTTTAAGGAAACTGACTATCATGGAGTTAGATTTGTTAAAAAAAAAAAATCAAGAAGAAGAAGAAGAACCAACTGAAAGTCAGATTTGACCCAACTGGGCCCTAATATATTAAAAGTGGCAGAACCATGCACGATTCCCAGCTTATCTACACTGAATTTGTTGAACCCCATTTGGCGTCATACTGGAAGGGCAGGCCGGGAAAAAAAAAAGGCATGATTAATTATTCCAATAACAAAATGTGTTCCTAAGCCTCCCCCCCCCCCTTTGTGTTCAATGTTCCAGCGCCTCATTAACATTCATATTCAACTCAAGGTTAAGTACAAGGGAATGGGTATGCTGGAAAAGAAACGGCAGAACAAGATGCGGCGGCGGCAAGTGGTGGGCATGCAAAGATGACAAACAACAGAGAGAAAGGTTTCCTAGAAGTCATCAAGCAGTTTGTCTTGCAATGGTATTAGTGAGATTTCAGGGTTCAAAGATTCCAGAACAGCTAATAACATGAGAAACAATGAAGACTTTCTAACATGTTCTCTCCTAGGAAATTCCAGATATTAAGAGAAATCCAACCATGGAATCCTCTCGTCACAAGACGAATCCATCAAATTTAGCATCATAAGTTAAGCCATCAAAGATCCTCGAAGTGCCATCCCAGATTCAACTCTACAAGCTAAACAAGAAATCCATAACCCTTGGGGGAAACGGAGACCATACACCAAGACTCAAGGACAAAAGTATAGACTAACGGCCACAGATACCTTAGACAATATCTGTTTCTATCTATGTATGTAAGTAAACATATCTCCAAAATGCAACCAACGCAAGAAACATGGAAGCAAGACTCAGTGCATCGGCCCACGTGGTGCACGAGACCGGACAGGTGTCTTTGACGGACTTACCCTGCACAAAACATAAAAATGCTTGAAGAAAGATCAACAGAGATGCTGGAATCTTTGTCATTAACAAAAGGGAAAAACCACGTTCTGGTTTTTACCCCCATCAACTATAGCTCAATCAGAATATCAGTACATGAATTTTAAAAGGTAATGCAAGTATGAAACACCTCCCCTCACCCCCCCCCCCCCAAAAAAAAACAACTAGAAGTATGAAACTACTTTCATAGGTCTAATGCATGCCTCCCCCACTCCATCCAGCAAGAACATGAGAATTGAGAGAAAAAAAATCTATCGGCCTAACCTGATAGGCAGCGAACCCAAAATCACACCACTACAGTTCAGAGCTGCAATTGCACTTTCAGCCTGAAAGGTTGAACACGTGAAATCTTGAGACGGCCAGACAAATTAAGTACAAATGACAAACAAACAGTAATCCAAAAATAATGACAGGCTGAGAACCAAAACCAAAAGGCTTCATTTTTAAAAACATATTCAACAAACCATCTTAATCCTTCCACCACTCCAACATTTCATTAACGGAAATTCCAGGACTCAATCAACAGATGCACTTGTGTCAACATTTCATATGAGGAAACAGAATATAAAACCACTGCCAATACAAAAAAATCCAGAAACCCAAAAAAAAAAAAAACATTGAACAAAATAAAGAAAATTCAGCCCTACCTGTTTGGTATGTGGTCTTGATTTTCATGGGATTGGGAATGGAACTGGATATGGGATTGGGAGAGGGAATAAGTTTTAAAATTATGTTTGGTATCACATAGAGTTTAAAAAAAAAAAAAAGACTCAATTTAACCCAAAAAAAAAAGTAGCCAAAAGACAACATTGCCCTCCTCATCATCATCCTCTCGTGCTGCTACTTGAACCCAGATTCTTCATCATCATCATTCTTGTCGCTAACTAAAAGTGGGAATAATTTTGATGAACCCAGATACAATTGCTACTTGAACTTTTGCATAACCAAATCTGGCTTCCAGATTCATCCTCCTCAAGTACCTCTGCCATCATCGAGCTCGCCACATCTAGACCAAGGAGGGAGAGGGGTCACTGTAGAGCTCACCAGATCCGAACTTGCATAACCAAATCTGAAAAAATCCAGGGAAGTTGACGAGCTCACCATATCTGATCTTCCAGGGACGCCAACGACGAGCAAGGATGTGGAGTAGAGAGCATATGCCATTCACACTTCACTCAGACAGGGAGTTAGGGACGCTGATCCTTTAAGGAGTGACGGTGACGTGAGGATAACTGATGGTGAAAAGGGCAATTTGGTCTTAAATTATCTAGCCTTGGGACTGATTTTCCAATACTAGGGGGTGGTAGTATTGGGTAATCTCATGTAAATGGGATTGGGATTGGGAATAAATTTCCCATTACCTCCTACCAAACATGAAAAGTTAATACTAGCCAATCCCTGTCCCATTTCCACCTCACCAGTCCTGTGTACCAAACAGGGCATTGAGTCAAGTGCCTCTAGACAAATGCGAAGGGCTCCTAAAATATTTAGATTAAATTTCTATTTCGTCCCTTTCCCACTCCCAAAGCCTCGTGCCTCCTTTGTAACCAAAAATGAGAAGAAAAAGAGATGGAAGTAGAACAACATAAAAGTTTAACAAAGAAAGAAAAATTGGGCTAGCTACAAACTAGAACAGTTTGCAAGCATCTAGGTCAGTGCTAGCCCTGCTCTGCTGTATAAAACTCACTACAGCTCATTAAGTTATATGGGTGCACGTAAGAAAAGGCCCAACCTATGCAGCTGAACCAAGAATCATCACCATCCGATTCCTTTACACCAAAATGTTCCTCACCAATGGAACCTAAGAACCACTATTTCCTTCCATGACCCAAAGTAAACTTCAACCTCAAAATATTGCAAAAGGATAAGATTTTCCTGGCAACTGCATTAACAAAGCATCATACTGAAACACATTTCAAGCTAACAGAAGCAAGTAATTAAGCATAAACAACTGTATGACTCTTAAGAATTGGCGGATAATCATCAACCACCCTGTGTCACTTAGGACCTTACCCGCAGAATATTAATGTGACATTCATCCTTTCCTTCCTCCCTTAAGTTGCCCTAGTTACAGGCAACCTTACTGCACTAGTTATGTCTTCTATAACTCGTGGACTTGATTATTTTCAAAGGAGAGGCCAGCTAAAATTAGATCCACGTTACCATACAATAAACCAGATGAGAAACTAATTGAAAATAGAGATAATTGTTACCACCATATGTTTACATATTAGTTCCACTGCGACTAACAAACAATATTCCCTGTCCATAAAGCTTCACAATAAGTATAATTTAGAACCAATTAAACATGACTACATTGGGCTATGACACCCCTTATGCAAAAATTATCAAACATCTACAACGGTTGTCAAAAATAAAGTATCAACATTTGTGATACTACTGAACTACGTATGCATATATAGAGCCATGGCAGAAGAGGTCTGATGTGCTTGAATAATTCTGTATGATACATAAAACAGAGAGGGATTGGAAAGGTTGGAGAGAAGAACAGGAAGACTAGAGAAGTTGAGAAAAGAGACAGGAGAAATCAGAGGCAGAGAGGAACTGAGGGAATTAGAGAGAAAACAGAGGAATTGATGAACACAGATTCTGAATAATACTGTTCTGATCATTAAAAAGAAGATTACAAGTCTGGGTATTTATATATTACTACACTCACACTCCCCCAACGGCTAGATCCAAATATTTAAATCTAAAACGCAACTGACTAACAGAATTATTGTCATAATTACAAAACTATAACAAGGCCCTATAATCCAAATAATACACTATCACGTTTTATCTGTTTTTCTTGTTGATTCTTCTTCTTTAAAAAGGTAAGTATTGTTGCCTGCCACGGGGAGGATGGAAATGACATCAATCATACGAGCAACCACAGTAAGAAATTGAAAGCCTGTGGTAGCATCAAAATAACAATGTGGTAGACGGGTATACATATCATAGTACACCAAGCTGATTCAGGTGAAATGGTCCAAAAAAGTGGGCAGTTACCATGGTGAACTCAACAAATGCAATTCGAGTTGAGTGATGGTAATCTCCAAGAAGCCTCAAGCGCTGAACCTAGATAAATTCACCAAAATAATGGGAGGGAAATCTCATAAGATGCTTAAATTCAGCTTATAACTATCAGTATAAATTTGTTAACATTAGAAGCTACAAACCTCTCCACAAAGACATTCAAAGAAGAGTTTAACATCTGCCTGGGTAACCTGCAATGTTGACAAGAAAGAAGGTTTAAAATTTGAGCCACACGCTTGTTGGGAAACCAGAAGTGGACACAACTGAGTAGAGAAATATTCTCAAATAAAGTATACTTCAACGCTACCTTCTTGTCAATATTTGTGCAATAAATTGTTCTTGAGCACATCTCCCTTTCATCTTCAGACTGCAAAACATAACACCATTATAGAGCCAAGTCAGAGAAATGAGACATTTTAGCTCCATCTGATCAGTTAACCTCTTATTAATCTGAGCTTTAACTCCCAGATGAAGAAAACATGGAACAGGAGCAGCCAAAGCAAATCATTACCCGGGGCAAAAATGAGGGGTTAACTGGTGCGATGGCAGTTTTTGAAGGCAGCACTCTCACTGGGTAATATCCAAGCATAGTGCCAGACAGGTTAAGAGCAGCCCTCGCACCTTCTGCAGGCATATCACTATTAATAGAGAGAAAGGTACATTTTTATACTTTATAACAGAAATAAGTTGTTGAACTTGCCTTCATCTGTAAACTCAATGAAGGCAAAACGAAGTACAGAATTAGGATCTCCGCATACTCGGCAATCAACAACCTTGGGCCCAGAAAAAGGAGTGGTTTCAATAACGTGGTCCAGCATTATCAAGAGGAAAAAACAATGGAAGCAGGACCGTTTCTACCTGTCCACAGTTAAGAAAGAGAGCTGCCAGCTGCTCTTCAGTGACCTAGATGCCAACAGAAAACACAGTCTTTAAATGAAGCACAATAATTAAGAAAAACAAAACAAGAAACACTCGAGCCAGCTGAAATGAGAGAATTTACAAACTAGATATAAATTATACCTGTTGATCAATGTCAGACACGTAAACAGTCTTCTTAATCATCTCTTCTCTCTTCTCCACATCCATTTTATTATTAGCTCTTCGCTTCCCTTGATTATATCCATTCTTCCTCTGCAATTCATTGTCATAATAAGCAGAAGAAGATAGTCATATGCTGAGAACACGGTATTAGTTAAAACTAAGACCATACTACGAACTTACAGCAGCTCTTGGTAAATTGAGAGAATTATACCGACTGTAAATACAGAGGGGAAGCTAAAAAATGGATATAAAAATAAAATTTGCTCTCAATAGAAAGAAGAAATGTAACTTCGACCTTCGGAATATTTAATATTACCCTTCTGTTAGCATGTCCATTAGCATTGCCATAGTTAGTGAGGGCTAGAAAGTTGTTAGGGTAGCTAAACCCAGCTCCACCTAAGAATCCGTGATTATTGGTGAGCGATGGTGGTACGAATTCCTCGGCCATGGGATTCAACTTCGACAACAACTCTTCCAAATCCCTCATATCACGCTTGAAACTCTCACCACCATCTTCACCGTTCCTTACGCCGTTAGACATTTGCTGTATTCCGTATCCGCTATTATTTAGCACCATCTGCTGGTTCTGAACCCCATTTGCCTCGAACCCATTTCGCATCTGAGTGATTTGAGACCTGTAGTTGCCGTTAGGGCCCGACGGAGCTCTATCCTGATGGCCGAACACATCATTCAGGTTCTGATCGCCGTTAACAGGTTGAACATCTGTTTCTAAACCATTTACAATAGCCCCAGTCCTGGGTTTCGGTTTCTGCAGCTCATTTGTCACAGTTGAGTCCGATGATACTACACTGTTATCTAAATTCTGACTGGATGAGCCGATTATGGCTCCGGCATTCTCAGCCACCGCCATAATAACTACCAAACGGAAAAGAGCTGATCTTTTTGGTTTCTTAAAAATCCTCTGAATTTCATCGTATATAAAATTGATCAGGAGATAAGCGTCGAGAGATAGCAATAGCAGGGGAAATGAAAAACAGGAACAACCTAAGAGCCGTATTTGAACAAAGAAGGCATACCTGGCTTTGTATGACAAAATCCCATTAACACAAGATCAAACCGATCTCGAAGATCGTCTTGTTCCAGTAGTTTAAGAGCGCAGAAAGAAACGATTATTATGGATAAATAGTTGCAGAAATTATGAAGACACCGGTGAATATTAGAGAGCAAGCTTTGTCTCACTAATTTTACTGAAGAAGATAAAGATTATGGTATAAACCAGAAAGAGGCCTGGAGAGAGAGATAAACGGAAAAGGGCCCTCTTCGGATCGTCCGTTTTGGCAGCAGTGCCTTTTTGGACCTTCCTGAGAACGTCCCGAGCTGATGATGATGCACGTAGTAAGAAAAATGTGAATACCCTTTCACCTAAATATCAATAGTTTATTATTTATTGATTATTAATAATGCATTCCCCATGATGGATGAATGCCCACCATTTGCACATGTCATGATGCCTTAAATACATCATCCACGAGAAAAGTAATGCACGGTAAAAAGCTACTATTTAACCCAAGATTATAATCTTGGATTCAATTCAAGAATCGCATTCGCATGCTTTTTTTAAAATTTGAAAAAACATATAAAAAAAATTGTTATCGGTGCTTCGGTGCAGAAAAAGAAACGGGATAGTGCCACCTCTTGTATATTTAATCATATATTTAATAGTAGGGGAAAAATGTTAAAACTTGTATATTTAATCATATATAATTAATATATCTTTGCCTAATCAAATTAAAATAAGTAAATTTTAAAGAGCTACAAATATTAATAGAGTTTATTATAAAATAAATGATTACAAGAAATGAACATATCTTGATTTATTTATCTTGAACATACAAAGTTAACTATGTAATTCTCTTCTATAAATATATATATATATGGGATAATCTATATGCTGTGTAAAGTCCATCACAACGGTACTATTCATCTAGAGTTGGATGAATACTAAATTTTTCTTTTTTTTTTAAATTTAAACTGTATATATTAATAGTTCAAGTGAGACCCACAATAAAAATTAAAAAATAGGTGTGAGATCCATAAGTAAAAATACTTATAGACAATTAATTGTGGGAAATTTATTATGCTTGTATTTTGTATATGTATAAAATAGTTAATTATATAACACATACAAATCTAAATAATAAATTATAAAATATAATATTTTGTTATTTAAATCAATCAACTTATTACTGTTTGCTTTTATATATGAGCAAATTTTAATAAATTTATACATTTTAAAAAAAATTGTTAATCCCAATAATTATGTCTAAATTAAAAAGTTTGAATTAAGATGCACTTATGATTAACATTTTATTTTTTTTCCTAATTTAATGATACTATAATTTAATAAAGAATAATTAGAAAAGATGTCATAAATGCTTTTTGAAAATTATTGTTTTGCTTGTAAAAGAAAAACAACAAGCCATGTGAAAATTTTACTTATATCTAACAAGGGAAAACATATAGTAAAATTTATCAATGAATTATGATAGAACTATAATAATTTTATGAGATACATCGGGTTTAGATTTAATAATTAAACAAATCTTATCACTCAATAAGTGTCACATATGACACAATAACAATTATTTGATTTGATAAGATTATTATTAGATATTTCGTCATCAAATGCTAAAGATACAACCAAATTTTAAATCTTTAAAAAGGACAATAAATGTGAAGATTGAAGAGCCTTTCTATCATGAGAGTTATTTTAAATTTTATAAAAAAATATACCTTGATAATTTTCAAGTATTAATATTATTCAATAATATAATTGATATACTCATTGAATAAGTAGATTTAAGTTATTTAGTGAATTTAAATTTCAGATAAATCACTATAATTTTACAGTGATCCAACTATTTAAAAAATAAAATTTTATTTTAAAATATTGAAGTGTAGCATTGAATATTACAGATAATTATAATCAATCATAATTTTAAAATTATGTTTTAATCTATCTACTTTCTTATTATAAATGTCGGACTTGTAATAAAAATATAAATGTAGAATTTATAGTAAAATTTTAAATTTAATTTTCACAAATGATAAAAACTCAATTCTACAATTTAAAATTTGAAATAAATTACCCAATGGTTACTTTAAATAATGGATATTTAAATCACCATTTAAAAAAAAAAGTATTGAAACTATCAAGAAAAACATTTGACATGAGCTTAAAAAAAGAAACACTGGTTCTATGTGCAAGGAAATGATATAACTCATTTTTGAAATTAATGCCACACAATTAGCATATTATCTAGGTACATGTAAACCACTTATATATAAAAATAATCAAATCAATCAACCTAACATGAGACCATTTCAATCTGATATACGTTAACCTATCAACATTTTAATTCACCATCTTCTAAAATGATGCTATATGGTACATGAAATGCTCAAAATTCTTATTAATATCATTTTGCATAAACCTTCATTCAATCTAATCCAAAACATAAGAAAATTCAGCACCATGATGAATTAGAAAACCCAAGCAAACGTAGTGAATTTTACAAAGATAATTAAAAATTTAAGATACATAAACTTGAACTTCATCATAACCATAAGTGCAAATGCATGTGTGAAAACACAGAACCAAGGAACCAAAAAAATAAGCACAATTGTCTAATGAAAATGAAAAATACAATTGTGGGTAATAAAGGCAGGAGAGTTTTATGTGCAACAAATTTATAATACCTTTGGCTAAATAAAATTGGAATGAGTTATCTTTTGAATGAGAAATATAAATCATCAAGAAAAATAAATTTGAAGCAAGCTTAATTAATAAAATAAGAAACATTAGTCTTGTGTAAAAAAATTGATATATCTCATCTTTTTAATTGATAGTGCACAATTTGTAACACACCAAAATTTTTTTTTAAATAATTTAACTCAACCATAGTTGGGTTACAGCCACCCAACACATTTTTATATCAATAATTTTAATATAAAATATTTTATAATTGACTTCAACTCACACACTATAACATTTCAGATAAATTTTTACCTCCCACATGCCATTAGGCTAAATCACACTTGTCCATCCTTATACTCCCAACAAGTAAACTAAATCACATTTGTCCATCCTTATACTCCCAGCGAGTAAAATAAGCAATTTAATAAATTTTCAACACAAGCCAGTTATTTGGCCTTATAATCATGCCATTTTAACCAATTCAAAGTAAACCAAATATTAAAATTACAGTCATCCAAATTGTACCAAAAATAGAAATAGTTTGAAAGGCATGATTACATTTATATATTCATATAATTGACAATAAACAAAAAGCCTTAATATTGGCAATATAACACATTATAAATCATAAATTAAATACCCAAAAGAGACAGTGGATCTATACCACTAAGCCTCTGGGACTCCTCCACGTGTCACTCGTGGCTCTTCTCCTGAAAATTATTAATCACATAATGAGACTCAAAAGTCCCAGTAACCAAAGCCAATTTATGATAGTGTATACAAATAGTTAAGTGTGTGTTTACTAAGTGAGAATTAAAAATAATATAATTCCAACAAATATAAAAAATATTACAATATACACAAACAACCATCCTTATATCCCTCCATTAATCTCGAGCCGTAGCCCTCACTCGGTGCTAAATTACCCGACCAAAGGTAGATTAGCCCGAGCCCTTACAAGCCACCTATTGAGCTCCAATAGGGGCGTACCACGTGGCACATAAATACAATAACAATAGCAAGTCTCCCAACACCTCCCACAATAATCAAACAAATTCATAATAATATTGCACAATATACAATATAAAAAAATTCATAATTTTCTCAATAATCACCCAATTAACATGAAGTAACACTAATCATAAATTAAAAGCATGGTTACCTCGTGGCTTTTCAATAAATTATTCCTTAAAATTTCTCTCTCACCACAATCTTCACCAGTAATACAATCTACAAATAACATATTATTTATAAATATTAGTTTCAATTTTGGAAACTAATAAAATAATTCTAATAATAGATAAAAATATAACATAATTCCTAATCTCAATCTTAATACAAATCTAGAGTCAATACTATTAAGTAAAATTTTTAACTCCTCTTTTAATTATCAATAAACATTAATAATCTAAAAATCAACTTCTAAACTAATTTCTATTATCAAAATTTTCTTTTTATTTCATAAATTCGTACCTAAAATACCTAAAAATTAAAAATTGAGTCTCTAGCTTAGAATCATAATCCTATAACCATAATAATTCATTTCTCATCCCAAATAATAATCTAAACCTTAATAAATCAACATATATTTTCAGATCTAGTTTAGAATTTGATCCATAAGCCACAGATTCAAAGATCATCAATAAATTTATACTCTAGAACATTTATTATACTACTGACAACCTCAAAAATCATATTTATTCAACATAAATTCATCCCTCTTCCAGATCTTAAATTTTCTACCACTACAAGCTCAGAAACCAAAGAAGAAGGATGATTAAGAAAAATTTTTAGAACACTTACTTAGTTTTGAAAAGCTTAAAATCACACCCTAAATATCCTATTAAAAACTCTTACCTTAAAAATTTAGATATTTCGCACCGACGACTCGCTTCTCTCCGCCTCAGCTCGCGCGCAGGAAAAGAATTGAAGAAATGAAAGGAAACAGGTGAGTTTTATAAAATTCAGTGGGTCCCACATCTTTTTGTTTATATTATTTCTTCTTTCCTCTCTCTCCCCTTTTTTTTTATTATTTTATGTAATCATGCCGCCGCGCCGAAAGCGATTTGTTCTTCTTCTTCTTTCCCTTTTTTTTTAATACGTTTCCCCTTTTTTTTATTATAATAATAATTTAATAATATTTATTTATTTATTTTTTAATTATTTTTTTTAAATTTTTTTTAGAATTATATCCTAAGTTAGATTTAATAATCATCTCTTACTAATTTTCTTACCTCTAAATATTATTTTTTAAAATTTCTACTAACCCAAATTAACTATTAAAATTTAAATTGGGATGTTACACAATTAATATAATATTGAAGTACACAACATGTAAACTACTTATATATAAAAATAACTAAATTATTGAATCTAACTAATTTCATATGTATAATATAATTCATCACTATAAATATAATAAATATAGCATCCTAAAAATACCATATCCTATGCTGCACGGAAAAAAAGTGTAGTTTTATCCTATATAGGCTTAGGCTAGATAATATGAAGGTTGGACATAAATTCATCGCACACTAAATATTTATACAAAAAAATAACCTAACAGCAATATATTAAAAAAATAAATGTACATGAAAATTTACGCATCCACGAAAAATGATTGCAGTCGAGCAAGAAAGAAT